CTGAACGGACGTGCTTAACTGCAGCTCCTCTCATCCGTCCAGTCATCCTGCTTCTCAGCGGCACAAATCGGGTCAGATCCACTTACCTTCTCGCGGGGGTCCCGGTGGCAGCAGGCGTCACTTCCATGCGATCCAGGCGAAGATCGGCCCGATACTGAGTGAGTAAAGATCCTCCCGGCCCTTCGCCTGTCACACGTGCGGGCGCCATCTTGGCTGCACGTACTCGCTCCCTCTGTCACACGAGTGCCAGCACTCAAACGGCTGGTTGGGAGGACATGGAGCCGAACACAGGACCCACGGGACGGGGCAGCCCACCACTTAATAAGGGCACAGAGCCCCCTGGAGCCACAGATGCCATCCTGGCAGCCATAGAGGCCAGCAAGACCATATTAATGGCCAGGATGGATACCCTGGCCACGGAATGCGGCCTAATCCGGCAGGACTTGGATAAAATACTGGGCCGGGTGAAGGAAGTGGAGACCAGGGTGGGGACCCTGGAGGATGTATCGGGGGAACATTCCCAAACAATACGCAGCCTGCAACGCGCGGTGGCGCAGCTGACTGCACGGTCGGATGATGCCGAAAACCGGTTAAGGCGCAACAATGTGAGGGTGGTGGGCTTCCCTGAGGGGACTGAAGGTGCGGATCCCACATCCTTTGCGGAGGCCTTTTTCAAGGAGCTCCTGGATTTACAAGCGGTTTCTGTGGCCTACATAGTGGAGCGTGCACATCGTGTTCCACTAGGCAAAAGGCCCCCGGGCTCACCCCCCAGACCCTTCCTGGTTCGTCTCCTTAACTTCAGGGATAGAGATCTGATTCTGACGACTGCGCGGAAGAGAGGGTCGGAACTCCGCTATAAGAATGCCACCATTATGCTGTTCCTTGATTTCTCGCCAGATTTACAGAAAAAAAGGCGCTCATTCATGGACGTCCGCCGTCGGCTTCGTGACAAGGGCCTGCAATACGGTATGCTTTATCCTTGCAGATTGAGAGTACAGTTCGCCGGATCGACAAAATTCTTTGAGGACCCGGCTGCGGCAACGGATTGGTTGGATACAGTGCCTTAACACTAGGGTCTACGTTTTTCCTTTGTTTTGTTTTCGTTTTTTTGCCATTGGGCTGATGTCTTCCGTTGTTGTAGCCCTGGGCACTGCCGGTTGCTCTGGGACCCTTTACAGCAGCCATGTGAGAGGCTACAAGGACTACCGGGACATATGGCTGAGGATGTACTTACTCCTGTAGGGAGCTGCAGGTGCGGTACGGTAATGTATGTCCTCAGTTGCTGTTTACACTTTAAGAGACTGCCCTACAAGTGAGTATCAAGTGATACTCTGAATAGTTCTTCAAGTTTTGGGATATCAAGCTGCTCCACTAGTTTTTGTCGTTATGTGGGATAGCAGGGTGTTATATGGGGAGTTACTGTTTATACGCCATAGCCTCGATTGGGACTTTCCCTGGAACTGGATGCTGTCGGATGTGCACGGCCTTTTCCGAGACTCTCAGCGGTCCTTGACTTTCCCGCACTTTAATGGCAGCTGATGTAAAGATCGTTTCCTGGAACGTTAGAGGCCTGAACTCTAGATTTAAAAGGGCACTAGTACTAAGGTTTCTACATTCCCATAACCCCCAGATTGTTTTTTTACAGGAAACCCACCTATTGGGGAGTAAGGTGTTGGCATTGCAAAGGAGGTGGATAGGGAGAGCGTTCCATGCCACCTACTCCTCCTATGCAAGAGGGGTGACTATTCTACTGCACAAAAATTTTCCATGTGTGATTAACCATGTGATAACTGACCCTGAGGGTAGATATGTGGTAGTGATATTGGAATACCAGTCACAATCTATTGCATTGGTCAATGTGTATATCCCGCCTCCCTTCCAGGGAACAGTACTGTATACCATACTGGAAAAACTGGCCCCGTACACCCCCTCCCGGGTGTTGGTGGCCAGGGACTTCAATAACATAATAGATTATTCCTTGGATACGTCCAATCCCCATAGGACGGTAAATACTGTATTGAGGGACTGGGCGGACACAGCGGGCCTGACAGAGATTTGGCGCTGGAAACATCCAGACACCAGATGGTACTCCTACCTATCGCATGTCTCCGGTTCGTCCTCTAGATTGGACCTAGCTTTTGCAAATGACACACTACTGGCCCAGGTTATGGACTCCACATATCTGCCCGGGGGACTCTCCAACCACTTGCCGCTGTCGACCCGCCTCTTGGGACAGAGGGGAAGACAGCCACACTCGTGGCGGTTGTCTCAGGAGTGGTTACCTAATGAAACGGTAGAGGCATTGTTACAGCCTCATTTGTCTACATTTTGGCCCATTAATTTGAACACAGCTGCTGAGATTGTTGTTTGGGATGCATTTAAGGCCACAACTAGAGGGGAATACATATCTGCAATCAAGCACGCTAAGGCGGTTGCTCGGTTCGACCTCTCTCAGCTACAGGTTAGGGAGACCGACTTGGCTGCAGCTCATGCGATGGCTCCATCCCCGGATACGCTTAGCGACTTGTTGGGGGTCCGCAGGGAGATCTTATTGCACCAGGAATCTGTAACACAGGTGATGATTAATGGGCAGAGGTAGGCTCTATATGAGAAGTGTGACAAGAATGGGAAACTGCTGGCGATGCTGGCAGCAGATCAGAGGGCGCAGATGGTTCAATGAAAACTGATCCGGGTGATATCCTCCAGGAGTTTGTCACGTTCTACAAGTCTTTGTACCAGCAGCTTCCCGACTATGATGTAGATATTTTGGGTGCACTCTTGGATTCAATAGACATGCCCATGCTGACTCATGTAGATAGGGAGTGCCTGGAGGGTGCCTTTATGGAGCTTGAGGTCCTGGGGGCTATTGGTTCCTTCCCGAATAACAAATCCCCGGGCCCGGATGGGTTTCCGGCGGAATGGTACAAACGATATGCTGATGACATGGTGCCTATGACAACACTGATTTCAGCAAGAGACAGATTGATACAATTCAAAATAATCCACAGGGCATACTACACGCCGGCCAGGCTCACAAAGATGCAGGCCTCGGCCACAGCCACATGCTGGAGATATCCATACGAACCGGCGGACCTCACCCATGTATTGTGGAGCTGCCCAAAAATTCAGGGGTACTGGAAGGGGGTGACTGAAGTTGTGACAACTATCCTTAATACTCCAATCCCCAACACTTGTAGAGTATGCATACTGGGCCTGATGGACGACATTGTGCCCTCTGTGGCATTACGTACTCTGCTGATATTCCTCTTATTCTATGCCAGGAAATTCCTGGTCCTCAACTGGAGGAAGGCGGAATCACCCACGCTGGGAGCTTGGAAGGCATTGGTCAACGCCTCCCTCCCATTACACAAAGCGGCGTACGCCTGCAGAGGGTGCCCCCTTAAATTCAATAAGGTGTGGTCAGGTTGGATTGAGTCCGATAATACACTGGGAATGTAACCGAAACAATCTAGGCAGAACCACTTGGTAAGAGGTAACCCTTAATAGTCCTCCTTACACAACCTATGATACACGGAAGGAGCATCCGGGCAGGGGCGGGGAGAGAATCCAGAGTGCACCCACATTTGTTCTCAGAACTGTACCTGCCACAGGGGAGGAACTCCGATATGAATACGAACAGGTTTACAGAACGGGGGAGGTTTATTCTGTTGGTAGTGGTTGGAGGGAGGTGGTGCTTGGGGGGGCATCTAAGGGGTGGGGGGAGACTGATTGGGGCTGGGTTTTTTTATTTTTTTGTGGCGTTTTATGTAAGTAAGAAATTGGCATATGTTATGCCACAATGTATGAACAAATGTTAATGTTTTTACACTATGTTGGTGTCTTGTTGTAAACCCATAATATGCAAAATGAATAAAAAGATTTTTCAACAAAAAAATTAAAATAAAAAGTCCAGACTTTTATCAAAAATCCTTTATTTGAAGAAAAAAAACACAACAAAGGATTTTTGACAAGTCCTTTATTAAAAAAAAAAAAAAATGGATCCATTGACGTAATCCAGGGTCAATGACGACATCCAGCGTTTTCCACAATGATGACGACTCAACGAAATAGAATAAAAAATGTATAGAAATAATAATTTTTAAAAAACCACCTCGTCCCCTGGGATGAACACCCACCACAGAATGGCATTTTGACAGATGCAGGCAATTCATAAACAATTGGATGGAGCTGGCAGTGACAGCTAGCTCCGCCCAAGTGTTTACAATTGTAACAGGTGAGCCATGATTGGGCAGAGTTATCATGACTTTATCCAATCATGGCTCTCACAGTTCTCTGGGCCCTGACTTTGCAAAGTTTTGCACCTGAATCAGTTGCACGTTAGAACTCCTAAGGGCTTGTCCACACCAAATGCAGACCAGATCTGCATGAGTTCCTGCACAAGCAGTGCAGTGTGTTTTGCTGCGTTCCAGGCCGTTTTTGTAGCCTAAAATTGACTTTCAGTGCATTCCAGGGCGTTTGCATGTTTTTTAATGCATTTGCATGCGTTCCAGAGCAGGAAAAATAGGGCTTGCTGCAGTTTTTTCCCCCTTTATTCTCTGGAACTGAAGGCTGCGGTGTGAACTAGAGCCCCAAATACTATTGGAATACAGTTTTTATCCGTTCTGCACCTGCTCCGCGCTTGGTGTGAACTAGCCCTAAACAGTTGCAAGGCTGAGTGTTGCAAATGGTTTATTAAATAGCCACCATTATGTCTAATGCAGGAAAAGTGGAAATGGCTGGCCAAATGGAACATCCTAAACTTTAGTATTCCAGATCTCCTGCTTTAGTATTTTATACATGTTACAAACATTTGTGAATTGAGTGTACTCTCCCCAGTTGCGCATTACTGCAGTATATAACCATAAATAACCTAATCTTCATAAAACCTCAGCTACTATTATGATCAATCTACTAATCTGTACAAATCTCTGCTTATATTGTTGTATTCGTAATTTCCCAACCAAATGCGGATGGAATGGACCGCCGTGACTACAGAGCAGATGAGCAGCTCCGCTAATCAGTTTCTGTTTACATTGCACAGAAGTTTCACCAACACGTAAACATCCCTTTAAACAGACGCTGACGTCACGAAGCAGGCACGCCCATTCATGGTGGTGGGTGGAGACTGCAGGGATTCGATGACGTTCACACTTGTCCATGTTCCCGTACGTCTCCATGAACACAGAGCTAGGCTAGCAGGCAGGGTAGAGAGCAAGGATGCGGCGCATGCGCGGAATAACGGATCCTGACGCTTCCCATCACACAGCTGCCTGATTACTGTATGAGCTGGTGCTCGTCCTCTGTAGTCTCCAGTACGTTCTGCCGAGTGCCTGTCAGGTGTCCAGGTCCGCCTGCTCTGCTGTGGAGCCGAATGTCTGGTGCTTCTACTGGAAGCGGTGAGGACGCTGAAGGCTTGCTTTAGATAAATACACGGATGTGCGCACGGGGGTCGGTGAGTGCGCGCGCTCCTGATTGGCTGCACCTCAATATACGACCTCTTGGCGCTCTTATGTAGGGTCTGGAGTCGCCTGAGTGCCTTGGATACTGGCTTGTGATTGGTTGGCTCTCCGCCTGTTGCGCTTAGAAGTCTAGAGTGTAATGGCTGGCCTAGTGTGTCCTCACACCTCTCTACCCTCATCTCCTCACACACAATGTCATTTCCCAGAGCCAGCGCTTGTGCTGGTGTCATTTGTATGTTACCTTTGCCATCTTTTCAATGTCTCCAGTATTTATGATGGCACCTGATGTTAATTAGACCAGCCTGCCTGCACAACCAATGCTGTCCATGGTCTACCTTCATGTGTTTATCATATGAGGTAACGCCTCAACTGTATTCCTGCATCATACATGTTGGTTATCATGGACCATAGCTGTGTAAACTGATTCTTGCTGGGCAGAGACCCATTCCAGGGGCTTTCATTGGCTCTATATAGCAAAAATGACTCAACAGATCAGTGCTGCCTGTTGGAGCCGTGAACCTATTCAGACTGTTGCTGGTAGCTTACATAGTTCTGTTAGGTCACTTTTGTGATCAAAGCTTGCTGGAAATTGCCGTGTGTCTAGTGTGAACAAGAGTGATTCAATCTGTCATGTGTGAGGATTGCTGTATGACTTCCTGTATGTGGGGCCGATTGCAAAGAATTTGGTTGTATGTTGTCACAGTTAATGTGATTCTTAAACCGGTTTAAGGATTGATTCGTTAAAACGGTAGAAAACCTTAAAGTTTATTTTTTTTACAATAATGACCATTCAGAATTCTTGTAATCTGCTGGGGTGGTATTTGAATGTTTTCTTTATTTTACTTTTAATGAGCTTTATGACCGTTAGGCTGTGTTCACATATGTGGTGACTGGTGTATTTCTGCACTGGATTAACTCCAGTCACTACAAGGCTACATAAAAGACAATTGCTTTCTATGTGCCCTGTTCACACTGCAATGCTCCCTTCAGCTGGGAGCGTAATGGAAAAATGCAACGCATCGGAGCTCGCCCGATGTCTGCGCCAGTCACAGCACCGCATCTCTGCTTCAGTAGATAGATGTGAATGAAATGTCACATTGACATTTCAGAAGTTAAAAAAAAAAAAAAAAAAAAAAGATACAGTGCCTTGCATTGTTACAACACAAGGCACCACCAGCGGAAATTTCACACCAGCCTGCACTCTAAAACAAAACCTAATGTCAGAAATCAGTGTGTGGGTGCTCTGGTTGGTTAGACATTTAGGACAGTTGCATATTAAAGATGTTCATGACTTTCGTTGTGCGATGGTTGTAAGGTCATTAAAATCTCCTACGACCTGCCCATCTTGGACAGGCAGATCGTACTTGCGATCATCGCAAGCCAGGGCTTGCCGATGATTGCAATGCTGAGCGGGTAGTGTGCGCTTGCAGCTTTCGTCTTCCGAGCATGCTACCAACCCGCCGAAAATCGTACGATTTTCGGCAGGTTTTCCAGCGTGCTAGAAAGACGAAAGTCGTGCGACCGTACAGTAGATGCGGTTGCACGCTGCCAATACACCTGATTATCGTACTATCGCGGGCTCACCCGCTATTATCGTACGATAATCGGCAGGTGTATGGGCACCTTAAAACAACCTGTTCAGTCAGAAGGTATTGAATCACATGTAAAGTGATGACAAATTCAGGAGTGCAATCTTAATGCATTCAAGTATCCTAATTATTAACAAAAGCAGTTTATTTGTGTTTCACTCGGCTGTAGATCCTGAAATCATCTCTGAATCGGTGCTGACATTGCCCTTCCTTCTGGAGGGTGGCTACTTTTGTTCCCCATGATCACTGTGTGTGTTGTAATGTATCCACTGCTCCTAGCTCGGTCCTGTGATGGACTACAATCTCATGTGTAGTTTACTTATTTGTATTGAGGTTGTTTTCCTTCCTGGGAGTGAGCTTGGAGCGTTGACTACTTTACAACACACGCAGGGACCATGGGGAAGAAAAGTAGCCACCTCCAGAAGGAAGGACAGTGTCAGCACCAATTTAGGGCCCATTCAGATTACTTCCAGACCAGACTTTCCGGACCCAAAATGCATCCCAATATATCCCTATACTATTTCTGGCCTCTGTTTCCACCAGTGCAGTCCGTTCTGGACCAGACCAGGAAAATACTGCTTGTCCTATTTGGTCTGGTCTGGAATGCACTGGAACGCACCTGTAAGACCATGTGAAGCTAAAAAAAAAAAATTAAAATTGTTTTTTTGGTTTGTTTTTTTTTAAATTCCAATCACTGCAAAAATGCAATGCACTATGGTCCAGATTTGGTCTGGTAAATGGTGTGAACCCAGCCTCAGATGATTTGAGGATCTACGTCTGAGTGAGGGCTTGTTCACACCAAATGCAGACAAGATTCCGGTCAGGTTTCTGCACACGCACGATGCGTTTTTGATGCGTTTTTTTCCAGGAAGCTAACAAGATTATTTGGTCATTTCCTTTTACCTTTGACCTTTCATTAGCTGTTCCGATTATTTCCTGCTTCCTCTGACCTTGTTTCACATGTAAAATTGTTGCAACATGGATCCATGGGATGCAGGCATGCTCCTGGTGATGGTTATTATACTGCTACACCAAAGTGCTGTAAGGAGACGTCGCTTTTGGGTGCACCCACTGATGAGAGAAAGAGATCCAAAGGGCCAGTTTGGGACTCTATATGCAGACCTTCGTGCACACCCAGACAAGTTTTTTTCATACACCCGCATGTCGATATCTAGGTAGGAATGTTTGCATGTGATGTGTCCCTTCCAAAGACAGGAAGTGACAAAGGAAGATTAGGTCATGACAGATGACCATAGAGGTTTTTTTTCTTTATGGTTATTTTTCCCCATTGGGTTGCATTGCGTTGCGTTTTAGATGCGTTTTTGATGCGTTCCAGAGCAGGTAAAATAGGGCTTGCCGCACTTTTTTCATCCGGTCTGGATCTGGTCTGGATCCGCACGCTGCGATGTGAACTGGAGGTCAAAATACCATAGGAATACATTGGACGCAGTTTTGATCCGGTCTGGATCTGCTCTGGTCTGGATCTGCTCCGCGCTTGGTGTGAACAAGCCACAAATAAGATACATTTTTGTTATTAGTTAAGGTACTTGAATGTATTTTTAAGATTTAAAGTGGTTCCAAACCCTCCCATTTTTTTGCCTCTATGTGCAATGCCTATATCAAGCAGTAGATATAGGCAAAAAAAAACGCTTTAACAGCGCTTAACACTTACCTTGTTTCGGCTGCGGGCTCCCGTCCGAGAAAACGAAACTGCTCCGGCGGCCGCAAAGCATCTTGGGGCGGGCGCATGCGCAGTTCGGATCCTTGGCCGGGAGACGAGCAGAGACGCAAGGTAAGTCTATGGACGCGTGCACCCGTATGCAGACACCGCTGGATCAGAAGTGCCTGCTAGCAGAGAGAAGTCAGAGCTGGATCGGAGAGCCGCCGCACCACTGGAGGGACAGATGAGAACATCAGGAAAGAAGATCGGATTAAGAGACATCATTAAAGGTAAGTGCTGACATTAACATGGGGGGAGGTGAACATTTTTTTATCCTTTAATATCAGTTTAACTCCTGAGTTTAGTGTCACTTTACGTGCGTAAGCTGGAAGCTCTCCCAGACATGGGGGCATATTTATTAAGCAGCGAATGTGACTTTCACCGAACGTTTACTTGTGGTGAATCAATCACTGTCATGTAAAACACATACACTTGGAAGAGTCACCTGTAGTGAATGTTTGGTGATTGCCAGATTCACTGCTGCATACGTATGTTCCATAGTGATGATGATATGCAACCTTGGCAAGGACTGTGCTCTGGGCCCTAGTGCTGCAAGGTAACTGCTTTGCCAGCTTGCAAGAATATACATTTAAAGGCCAACTCTGGGCAAAACAAACTCCTTCCCACCCCCTCAATCTGATCATGGGCATAAAGAAAAGCTTACAAATCTACGTGACGCTTCAGTCCCAAGTCTTCCCTCCTGCTGAGTACATGAGATGGGGTCCTTGTTCAGGTGCCCACATTACTGCCTGCCTGATTTGGACACTTCCTATTGTTCAGTAAGGGGGTCCTCTCTGCATCCTGAAAAGTATTGATGTCATTGCAAGCACATCTGCAGTGCTGGATTAGTGGTCCCCACACCTGGAATCTGTGCCAGTGCGGAACCTGGATGGTGGAATGTAAGTATACATTGCTTTACAAAAAAAAACCCAAGCAGGATGGGTTAGAAGGGGATTGAAGTAATGGGTGGAAGGGGGTTCATGTGTTGACTAGAGTTCGGCTTTAATGTTAGTAAAAAAATCATGGTGTAACGTTACAATGTTACAGTTATATACATTATACCAAGAGTAGTAAACCGCAGCACTCCATCTGTGGTGAAAGTACAAATCCCATGAGGCATTGCATGATTTGCAGATGCATGATGGGATTTGAAGTTTCACCACAGCTGGAGTGCTAAAGTTGGCTACCTCTGAATTTTTTATATATATATTAATTTTTTTAATTCAAACACAACTCAGAATAGAAATATGTTGGCTACATTTGTTGGCCTGTGTTTGAATAAGAGAGCTCTGGGGCTGTCATCCTCCATTCACCACTTTCTAACCTGGAAAGTATCTGCACATCAGATTACCCAGCACATCATACTGCATGCTTGTTTCAGGTTAGTGAGCTTCATAAAAAATTGTCAGCAGTGGCAGCTTAAATATTTCTGTTCTGTGAGGCAGCTGGCCAGCTCCTGACTTTAGGCAACTTCACACATGAATGTTAGATGCTCTTATAATTTCCAGCCTCCAGAAAAGCTGTTTCTTAGTATAATTGGCAGCCACCAGAAATATATTTCTTCAGATATTTATATCATGCAACTGGTATGCTAGCTAAATGATCACTTGGGGATCAAGGATAATAGA